TACGGATTTCTCAGTATTTAGTATTTTCTCTTACTTTCGCTTTAGCATACGGGAGATCTTAACTGATCGAGTCACGTAGATGAGCAATAAATCATGCCTATAAATTAATTTAATTAATTTAATTCATTCTGAACTGATCCTTGATCCGTGATCCTTGATCTGGTTTTCCCAGGAAACTGACTAAGAACTCAAGATTTCTATCATGCTACGGTTTTGATTGCAAAGTAAGTTCAGAATGGGACTTAATCAATATTTGTCGAGTTTTCCAGGTTAAGTTTCTGGGTGAGTAAGTAGGATTTTTGCTCATTTAGCTCATTAAATAAAATGTCCAAGACAAGGAGATACTTGATATTTGAATTTTTAATGTTAGCTCCGACATGAGATAATTAACATGCAATTTTCTGTAATCGTACCTTGGCAATGACAGTGTCATTGTCCTTGTTTATTGCCACAACGCTTCCACTTTTATTCTCTAAAATGACAACTTGATGAGCTTTTCCATTTGCGTCAACCTCCTGGACAGCGTGGATCTTAAAACGAGCTGTTGAAGAATATAGTAATAAATGAGACATTTGTTTAGTAAACCATACTAATAAGTAAATGTTCACTGATCAGGTATTTTTACGAGGCAAGAAACTTTCTTTTGTACTTATTTGTCCCTTATTTGGACAAGTCTAGAGCTTCTTTTACCTGTGACGGTGATGTTCAGTAAGGCGAAATAAGATACTAGTCACCTACCTCGTTCCCAGGGTCTCTCATCCTCCCGCCCCTTGGAGCGAGTGAGGATGTGTTTTGCACTTCACTGACAGATGTTTTTATTCGAGCATTTTTTTGTTTATTTAAGATAAACCATTTTTTGTTCATCTGAGATATCATGGGCTGTCAAGATTAGTTGATGTACGAGTTGGATTAAGAAAGCAGCAGTCGGGAATCCGAGATCAGCTTGAAAGGATTGTGCTTCATTCGAAAAGTGTGTTTTCTGCCTTTGTGCAAGGACTGGAAAATGTCGCGTCTCAAGCAGGAAAGAATACTTTCTTGTCGCTTCTGTTTTTGTGATATCCGATATAGGCGGCCCTCGCGTGTATTTTTTGCTTTCAGTTGACTAGCTAGCGCGTTTACAAGATAAAACTTGCTGAATAAACTAGTTCAAAACATTGGTAGACTCCGAGGACTTAACATTCCTGGTGAATCTTCAAAACCATTAGTACCCGAACCCATAGTGCGAAACAGAATGTTTTGTTCCCTGTGAACTGTGCCTTCTTCTGTTTCTCTAAGAAGATCCCTGATTGTACATTAGCTGCCACTATTTCTGTAGTTTTGATTGTAAATATATTAAGATCATGCTTACTTTTTTGGTTCTCACTGATTGCATTAGATAATACAGATGCACCATTCACCCACAAGTAGTGACCTGGAACCAGTCCAGTTTCATTTTGAGAGATAAGCTGATGATCTTCAGTGCTCCATTCTC